GGAGGCTGGGCTCTATGAGGAGAAATGTGAGGTCAAGATTGGTGGATGAATTATCAACAATCTGCGTTATGCAGATGACACAACCCTGCTTGCGGAAACTGAGGAGGACCGGAAGCACCTGCTGCAGAGTGTCAAGGACTGCAGCCTCCAATACGGATTGAGGCTCCATGTCAAGAAGACAAAGATTTCTCACCACTGGACCAATTGGCAGCATCAGGATGGATGGAGAATAGATCGAGATTGTACACAGCTTTAGTTTGCTTGCCTCCACAGTCAACACTCTTGGCACCAGTAGCCAGGAAATTAAAAGGCGCATTGCCATGGAAAAGTCTGCTGTTAGGTACCTCTCCAAAGTATTGAAGAGCAATGGTGTCTCTCTGGAGACTAAGGTGCATCTGACACAGGCCATGGTCTTTGGTACCACTTGTTATGCATCAGAGAGATGGACAGTGACTAATGAGAATAGAAGGAGAATTGATGCCTTTGAGCTGTGGTGCTGGAGAAGAGTATTGAGGATACCATAGACTGCTGGGAAAACAAACAGTTTCATCCAGGAAACGGTCAAACCAGGCTGCTCCTTAAAGGCAAGGATTCTGAGGCTCCGTCTTACATACTTTGGACATGTTGTAAGGAGGGACTTGTCTTTGGAGAAGGACATCATGCTTGGGAGGGTGAAGGGACAGCGCAGGAGGGGAAGGCCCTCTATGAGGTGGATTAATTCAGTGACTGGGGTAATTGGGATAGGTGTATCAGAGATTGTGCGATTGGCACAGGACAGAGCAGAGTTTAGGGCTGTTGTACATAGGGTCACTATGAGTAGCAAGTGACTCGACGGCACATTAACAACAACACTTATACAAAGGCTAGAACAGTACTTTGACAGAGAACTGCCAGAAATACAAACCAGATTTAGAAGAGGCTATATAGCACTAGGGATATCATGGTTGATATCAGATGGTTCTTGACTGAAAGCAGAGACTACCGGAAAGATGTTTACTTATGTTTTATTCACTATGCAAAGCATTTGACTGTGGATAAGAACAAATTTGGGCTAACATTGAGAAGAATGAGAACCCCAGAACACTTGATTGTCTTCATGCAAAGCCTATACCTAGACGAAGAAGCTGTTGTTTGAACAAGAGTAAGGGAACACTGCATAGTTCAAAATTAAGAAAGGAATACATCAGGGATATATCCTTTCCCTACACCTTTTCAATCTATATTCTGAACAGATCATTCGAGTAGCTGAATTCTATGAAAGAGAATCAGGCCTCAGAATCAGAGGAAGACTCATCAACAGCCTGCATTATGCAGATGACACAAGCTTGCTTGCCTAAAGTTATGGAGGCCTGGAAACACTGCAGAAGATCAAGGACTACAGCCTTCAATATTGATTGCATCTCAACATCAAGAAAACAAAACTCAACACCATGCCAAAAGCAGTGTCATTATATAGGAGAAAGGATTGAAATTGTTAAAATTTCACCTATCTTGGATCCACACTTGGCACCAAGAGTTGGGAAATGAAAAGGCTAGTCGCATTGGAAAAATCTATTTTCAAGGACCTCTTTTCTAAAGAGCAATGATGTCAGTCTAAACACTAAGGTGTGCCTAATCCAAGCCATGGTCTCCTCAATTGCTTGCTATGTATCTGAAAGCTGAACAATGATTAAGGATGACAGAGTTGTAGTACCGAACCATGGACTGCCAAGAGAAGTAACAGGTGTGTCCTGGAGAAAGCAAAACCAAGGTGCTCCTTGGAAGCAAGGATGGTGAAATTTCATCTCACATACTTTGGGAATATTGTCAGAAAAGACTAGCCCTTGGAGAAGGACATCATGCTTGGAAAGACAGAGGGTTATCACAGAAGAGGAACATCCTTGTCAAGATGGATTGACATGGTGACTGTGGCAATGGGATCAGCTATGTTTGGAGATAGTGAGGATGGGACAGGATAGGAAAAGGTTTAGAGCTGCTGAGCTCGGAATTTGTGGGTCAGGGTCACTATGATTTGTAGTCAACTTGATGGCACATAACAACAACTTACATATCCTAAGCTTTCACATCTCAAAGACATTAGTACTCATTTCTTTCAAAAGTCACTTTTCCAGAATTTGCACAGTTTTTAAACTTTGTTTTGTCTCATATAACTTTTTTTACTTTCCCTTGTCTTCAATATTTCTTCCTGTTAGGTGACTAGGATAGATGATACTTCACTTTATGCTCTTTTACTCTATCCTTTTTTTCTGGATCATGCCAGGTCTTTCCCAGGACAGAAAATTCTCAAGTTCTTGTGACATTAAAATACTTTTGGGTAGTTCTTGGAAAGAAACCTTTCATAAAATTTTAGACAGGCTATCAGACAGATTTTGTTTAACACCCCCATTACTTCTCCAGTGTAATTTCTTTATTAATAATTTTATTTATATTTAACAGATCTTCCCACACCACACTCTTTTAATTCACTTTAAGTAGAAGGAGGAAATAAACACATACAAAAATAGTAATTCTCATTTAAGGATTTACTCCAAAAAAGCAATTTTTAGGTTGGTCATACTCCCAGTCTGTTTAAGTGTATACTGTCATTAAGCATCTACTAACATCACCAATATTTACAATTATAAACTTATAATGTGATACAATCTTTTGCTACCTGGGAAAGAGACTTTCATATCCATGAGAGTATATTTACAGCTGTAGGAAATTTTATTAAACTATTATAAAAGTGGTGACAAAAAGGATTTATGTTTCTTCATTAAGCAAACAAAAACGTTTATTCTAGAAACATTTCTCTGAACTTCATTCCTACAATTTCCCCCTAGAACATTTAGTTGTCTCATCCCTTCTCTAGTCTTAAAGTTTCCTCACTGCTTAAAAATCTGTGTTCTAGACTTTATCTTTTTAGAATTATGTATACTCTTTTAGGAGTAAAGCAATGAACCTTCTCTAGAAATTTGCATGTATAAGTATTTATACCAAAAACTGTCAACAATTTTAAATGCTTACTGACTCCTTAAAGCCCTTTGATCTACCTCAAGTTAAGAACACTCATCTTAGAAGGAAAAATAATTGACATGCTGGACTGTAAGACTTCTACTTTCTAGAACTCAAGACTCATTTAGCTTCTCCTAGGACTGATGTTGGGCTCCCAGGCATCTCCTGAGTTATTTTATGCTTACACACCTTTGGTGTAGGAGCCAGGTTCCAGTCAGATGTGAACAAAGTGTCATTGAAGGAGTCCCTGCCTCAGACAAACACTCCCAGCCACAAACCTTGGAGGGAGACGTGGTAACGGCCTTATGAAAAAGTCTCTGTCTGGCTCCCTCTTATAGTTACTCTTAACAATGTACACATAATAACTGTACAGTCTAGAGGAGGTGGCTATACAGCAGGCAGGCAGCTTTATACTGTCATAAACCTTACTGGTTCAGTTCCTTTGAATTATGAATAGTCCCTCATCATTTAGAAGCTATGCACAGATGTAATTCTAATAGTAACTGAATAGTGCACATGATACCATGGCATATCTTCCCTGGTGCCCATTGCCTATGGTAGGAAGAGGCTACCTATGGCAGAAAATGCCTGAGCCACAATTTCCTTCCCCCAATTGACATTTGCCTTCTCTTGATTAAAAGCCCAATGAAAATCTGTTACTGGGCACACAATAACTTATTAAAGCCTAGAATGTGCCCTGCCTTGGCTATAAACAGTATTTAGAGGCCTGTTTGGGCTGCTTGAAAGTGTCCTATTGTTACTTCTGTCTGGAAGTTTCCCTTCTGGGGAACTGGGAAGATGGGGTGGGTAAAGTGAAGATGAAAGAAGGAGAAACAAAACTGGAAAATAAAAAGGCAAATTGGCTTACCTGTGCACCGAGGGCAACACAGATGAGGAATATGCACAGGAGAGAGGCAATGAAGGCTTGGACATCTGATACGGCTGCAAAGCACATTCCCATTCTGAAAGAAAGAAGGCAAATAGAAAATAAATGTCTTTTTAAAATCACTCCAATCGTGCCACTTTGGGTAACAATTATGCAGGAATTCACCCAAGCAGGAAAGAATGCATTCCTAAGGAATCAAATTAAATTAGTATTTCATTTCTTTTTCTCATCAGTAGCACTTCCGTTGCAGGAGAAAGATAGTCTCCTGTCATGCAGTTCACACCCTCAAAAACTCAATGGAATATCAGCTATGTGTCAGTTCTGGCTGGAAAGCAATGTGTTTGAGGACTTCTGCTAGATTGGATGATAGCTTATTGGCATATTTTTACTAAGGTTGGGATCATTTTGCTTGTTTTCAGATGCCCCCCAAAAGGTGGTAAGCCCGTACTCATCTGGATGTACAGCATTTCTACTATTCTCTAGCTTTAGTTGCAAGTCTTTTCCAAGACCCTCTGGTTGCATGGTGACAAGGATTTGCACTGCCAGCCCCAAAGGCAAACAGTTCAAATCCATCAGCTTCTCTGCACAAAAAAAGATGGGCAGTCTCCTCTTGTGTGATATACAGCTTCTGAAAACCCTCTGAGGCATCATCTCTAAGTCAGTTCTGACTCCACAGTACATAACAACAATATTCTGATTCCATAATCCCTTTTTAAATGTCCTAAATCAGAAGGAATAAAGAGTGAATGAGTTCTTTGAGTTGTCTGACCCTGAGAAAGGAAGTATACCCTAGAACATGGCCACTAGATTCTAAATAAATGTGTCCTGGTCTAGTGGCTTAGTAACTCTTCTCTTCATTTCCCTTTCTGTCAAAGTTTGTAACTTTGTTTTTTTGTATTTAGCAATTGTGCCCGGGTCAAATGACTGGGTCTCTGCCTGATTCACAATCACAAGATCTCTAGCTCTAGCTGCTCACAAATAAAGGAAGACTCTGAAAATCAATTTTTCATTTATCTTTTAAATTCATAATTCATTTGAAGTAAGGGCTACATGTATTTGGCATGCTGATATAGGAGAAGGACATGAAAAGGATGGAGAAAGAAGAGATGCTTAGTGCTTGGACTGTTGGCACTGGGTTCATACTAATATTTTCACTTTCCTAAAGACATCAAAACCACAGTCTCCAGGGGCTAGCCGTCCATATCAAATGTGTTGGCTTGAAAAACTGACACAACCATTCCCTAACAGGCTGTTAATCAGTCCCCAGATGCTTCATTTAAAACATACCCTAGTCATTTAAAGAGGCAGGCATCTTGTATCCAAATCTGAATCACCTCACTGCAAAACTTCTGCTTTCCTGTGCACTTTCTAGAATAGAGTTTTGCAGTGACGCATTTAGAAATACCACGAAGCCTCTTTCAGTATCACACTCCTCAAAATCTGGTGGTATCATCTGGAAGTGAGATCACTGAGGCATGCCAGAATCCACAACCTTTCTGAGAGATCCAAACTGAATCCTGAATTATTTATATTGCATTCTTTTCTAGTATTAATAGATTAATAACAAAAATACCAACTCTGGTGGCCTAGCAGGTAAGAAGCTGAATTACCATCCCAAAAGCAGGCAGTTAGAAACCACCAACTGCTCCAGATAGGCAATCTTTCCCACATGATTCATAGCCTGAAAACCCAATGGAGGGCCAGCTATGAAATAATTCTGACTCAATGGCAGTGAGTTGAGTTGAACCATAATGTTAATGATGATGAGAAAGATGAAAAATAGCAGCAGTTAACACGTTAAAGTTTTTTGTCTTGAGTCAGGCACTATTTGATATGAGTTAAGTGGATTAGTAGGTTTAATTCTTACAACTCTATGAAATTGTTGTTGCTGTGTGCTATGAATCAGAATTGACTCATAGCTAACCTTCCAGCAGGTTCTCAGAGGCAGTATACCACATGGAAAGTGCAGTTGCTGGATTTGAACCACGTAGGGCAGTGCTGCTCTTTACCACTAGGCTACCATAGCTCCCTACCCTATTAAATAGGTAATGTTACTTTTTAAAAGAGGAAGCTGAAGGCACACAGAGAGGTTACGCAACTTATCTAACACAGTATGGCTCATACATAGTAGACTTGGAATTGGAAAGTTGACCTAACCCTAACTCAACAACCATCATTTCTTAACATTACCTTATGTTATTGCATGAAAAATTAGGTTTCCACATACTCAAAATTCTGACAGTCCAATTTTCTGTGCAAGCCAGCAAATGAATCAAACTTGCAATTGATCATTCCTGCCTTACCTCGGCACTAGGGAAGAGTTGCAGCTCTTCTTTGTGGTTTCAAGTGACAGGCTCTTGGGAATGTTCTTGAAATATTCAGTACTCTACTCTCAAGGCCTAGGACAATGTTCTTAGCTTAGTTATCTAATGTTGCAATAAGAGAAATACCACAGTGGGAGACTTTAATGAACAGACATTTACTTTCTCACAGTTTGCAAATCCAAATTAAATGTGGTAGCTCTAGAAGACTTTCTTTATCTGTCCATTCTGGGGGAAGGTCCTTGTGTATTCAGCTTCTATTTCTCAGTTTCTTGCCAATCTTCATGTTCTATCACATCTGTCTTCTTCAAACTGTGCTTGCTGGCTTCTGTGCCTTCTTTATCTTGTTATATCCCCAAAACAATGGTCTCATTAACATAAGGAAAAGTATATTCCCAAATGGGATTACATCTACAGGTATAAAAATGTCAAAAACTCCAACACATTGCCATCAAGCTAGAACCAACTCATAGTTGAACTTTCATTGGTTGCAAATTTCAAGGCTGCAAATTACCTGAGAGGAAATTGTCCATCTTTCTCCTGTGGAGCCACTGATACAGATTCAAACTGCTGGAGACATACAGTCTTTGAGTAAGCAATGTAAGTCTACAAGATTACACCACCAGAGCTCTATTGTACAGGCATGTTATTGGTGTTGTTGTGTGCCGTTGAGTTGAAACTGACCCAGTCAACCTTCCAGTGGGTTTTGAAAGGCAGTAAGTCACACAGGTGGTAACAGCCCATCCTTCTTCCATGCAGCAGCTGGTAGATTAGCATTTTTGCGATCCCAGTGCAGTTTCTTACCACTAAGTCACAGGCTAAGATTTACAACAATGTTTTGGAGATGACACAAACAAATCTTAACAAGCTCCCTTCCTAAGAAGCCCAGTTCTATGTTTCACAATCTGAGATGGATAATTATTCTCCCCAGGCAACCTTGGGCACATCTGGAGTAATTTTTTATTGTCACAACTGGGGAGTGATCCACATGTCTCATGGACAGAATGGAGACTAGGAATGCTACTAAACACTCTAGAGTGCACAGAACAGCTCTCACAACAAGGCATTGTCCAGTTCAAAATATCAGTAAGTGGTTTAGAAACCTTCACGTAATCAATAATGACAGAGGTTTGTTTGTTCTGAATGATGGCTCACAACTTTCATCCTGGGTCAAGGACCACAGAAAGAAGATGGAGTTATCTGGTTTGTCAGTTGCAAACCCTCTTTGAATAACTGGACAGAAGCCACAGTCAAGGATTACTGGCTAACTCACTCACTGCCATTGAGTCAGAATTGACTCATAGCTAATCCTCCAACAGGTTCTCAGAGACAGTAAATCACATGGGATGAGACTGCCCTTCTTTCTCCCACAAAATTGCTGGTAGATTAATTAGAACTGCTAGAGAGGTGCCACATTTGGATAACAGTGTGTCTCTCTACAAAGTAGGCCACCAGAGCTTTCCCTGATTATTAGTTAAGGCAATATAAAATATACTCTCAGAGAAACAATTTCTACTCTGTCTTAGTCTCTTCTCTAGAGGTCAGCCTTGAAAATAGTTTTCAAAAACTAATTTTTTTTTCAGATAAAGAATTATAGTGAACTTTTGCTATTCTTGTTGTATCAGGTCCTATGGAGTTGACTACAACTCATAATGACCCTTATGAACAATGGATCTTAAGCCTTCCCTATTCCGTGCCATCTTCATAATTTCTGATATACTTAGCCCATTGCTATAGTACCTGTGTAAATCCATTTAATTGAGGATCACCCTTTCTTGCACTGACTCCCCACCTTTCCAAGCACACTGCCCCTTTTCAAGAATGGCCCCTCTTAATGGCATACCCAAAATGTGTGAGATAAAGCTTCACTATCCTTGCCTCCAAGGAGCATCCTGTCTACACCTTCTCTGGGACATATTTGCATGTTCTTTTGGCTGTTCACAGGATATTCAGTACTCTTCTTCAATAAGATACTCTGCCTTAACCCATCATGCTCTGTACCATTAGTCACTTTTGAGTTAGAATTAATTCAGTGGCAATCTTTTTTTAAAGAGGTCAAAATTTAAAAAAAGAGGTCAAAATGTCTGTCCATAGCAAATATTCAGAGGTTCCGGCGGGGGGGGAAGAGAGTGGAAAAAGGAAAGAAATACTGATTTTTACTTGAAATCTACTAATTTCTCTATGACCCCTACTGCCTAAAATCACTGCTATCTCCTCTGCAAGCTGAAGAACAAACTGGAAAATGACATGTTATGAGGGATTGTACCTCTGAGCAGATGCAGTTCACACAGTAAACCAACCCATAAGGTTCCAGGTAAGGATGCCATATCTCACCCACTCTGTACTTCTTGTCTTGAAACATGCAATATGTCTCTGAATCTGCGGGAAAAGAGATGGAGAAAATGATTATCAAACAAAAGATCAAGTTACAATTACAGACTACATTTGTTTTAGTATACAGCAAGGAAAGAGGCACTTATAGAATCCCTACCCAGAGTTTCATATGTTTTGATCCTCACAATGACCCAGTAAGATTTGTTGTTTTTAAGTGTCGACTATGACTCATAGTAACCCTATGAACAACAGATCTGAATCTTCCCCTATGTTGCCCCATCCTCATGATCTCAGTCATGCTCAAGGCCATTGTTACAGTCACCGTGCCAATCCATCTCACTAAGGTTGTCCACTCTTTTCTCTAATTCTCTGCCTTTCCCAGCAGGTTGTCTTCGTCCAAGGACTGAATGACCTCTCCTGACAACATGCCGAGTGTATATGAGATCAAGTTTCAGCATCTTTGCCTCTATGGAACACTCTGCTTATATTTCCTCGAAGCAGATATGTTTGTTCTTTTGGTTCTATTTTATGATAATAATAATATGATAAGGAAAATCAAAGGACATATAACCAAAAGGCAGCTGAGGAGGGATACGAGTCCAGATTTATTTGAGAGTTAAGCTCAAACATTTAGCTACTACTTATCTATAAAGATAAAGTAAAAAGATAATATTATCTGTATTTTTTTTAAATTATTGTGGTTTGAATTGGAGCTTGCAGAGCTGAATGATTTTCCATTCAGCCATACATACATATCTTGTTTTATGACATTAATTACAATATCCATATTGTAACCACATTTTTCCTGCTTCTGCACCTCTCCGTGTCTTCCCTTTTTTATTTATATTGTGCTGATTATCTTCTTATTTGGAAAATACCGTTTTCCCTTATCTCTGAAGAAGAAAAAAACCAATGTCTGAGACACTGATATATGAGAACACTCTCACAGTTGCTTGCTTGTAGTGTAAGGTTGACGGATTAAATACATTGCAGGTTTGTATAAACGGCTTTCCACACACACACTGACATGATTAAACTATCAAACAAACATTTGAGCACCTACCTACTCTTTTTTTAGGCACTATGTAAAGTACCAGGAAGAAAATAATGAGTGAAAATGCACACAGTCCCTGCTCCTTTCCAACTTAAAGACTACTTCTTACATAGATAGCTCACAGTTATCACAAATATTGCAAAGTAATGCCTCCTTCTCCTTTGTTCCAACAGAAAGCTTGGTAGCCATAACTCCTCTTGCACTGTAGTTACTTGAACACATACCATGTCAATTATCTTATTTTGTAGGTCTTATTTCTCTATTCAGATACAAAATAGATAACTTTTATTCGTTACTTTCTATCATATGGCCTAACTAATAAATCTGTGGCCAATAAATGTTGTTACATGCCATCAAGTTGGGATCAACACTCCAGTGGGTTTTCAGAGGGGTAATTGCTCATCTTTCTCCCATGGAACAGCTGATGGATTCAAACATCCTGTCTTTCTGTAGATAGCATCATTAGGCCACCAGAGCTCCCCTAATAAACGTTACCAATTAGCAAGTTATTGGCAAATTGAATTGTCAGATGTAGTAATTTGTTTTCCAAACTCATCCTCTTTTGTCACTTGCTTCCCATCAAATAAACTAAAAAAAAAAAAAAATACAAAACTCTAAGATTTCCCATGTGGAAAACACCTTAATTTTCCCTATCTCCAGTACACATTTCCATGAGTATAAAATTAAAGAACAAAGAAAACATAGATAAGCATTTAACTTGAAAATTATAGTTCTAACAAAAATATATTATTACATCTGTAACATTTTTAATTACAATTTATAAGTAAAAGACCACACAATTCCATAGAGGAAATGATATAAGGACATGATCAATTTTGCAAAGAAATGAGACCAAGCATAAATATGAAAACCAATACAAACTCAGCAGTAACTCACTCACTGTCACTGAATCAATTCCGACTCATAGCAACCCTCTGCTGGCCTGTACAGATTGTAATGGGAGGAGATGACCCATCTTTCTCCTATGGAGTTAGGGATATATTTAAACTGCCAGCAATGTAGGCTTTTTTGGTTAGCAGTACACCACCACCGAGTGGAAAAACACCACCAGAGCTCTTTAATTAAGTAATTAGAGAGTCAAATTTAAACTGCATTGAGATAAATGTCTCCTGTCACTTCTTGACTGAAAGATACTATATTTCAGTTTAATATTCAAACTTTTGTTACCAATTTCTTCAGAACAATATGTGGAAGGAAAGCCAGGTTTGAATCTTAATTAGCTCTAACTGCATGACAATAAGCAAGTTAGGTAACTTCTCTAATGCTGTTTTTTAATATCTGTGAAAATATAGATTATATATTTCTCAAGCAGGTGTCAGAGGATTATTTGACATTGTGTGTCAACTATAAAGCACTACAAAACAAAGTATTATTACATTAATTTTTATCCTAATTAGAAAGGCAATGCATACTATGTGTAGGAAATTGGAAAACATACACAAATAAAACAAGAAAAACTTAAAAAATAACTACGGTAAAGACACAGTATACACAGTTCTAGCAGCAGAATATAAGTTTTAAGATTCTGGTAACATAAATAGTTAATTAATTGAAAAAAATTCAATGGGATAGCTTAAAATATTTTATACTATATGAAAATGAAAATACAATATGTTAAAATGGGTGGGATTCAGCAAAAGCTTATTTAAAGGCAAGTTAATAGTACTAAAATATCTATATGTAAAACCAGGAAACGTCTCATATCAATGCTTTAAGAAACTAGAAAATGTACAGCAAAATAAACTAAAAGCAGATAGAAGGAAGGAAATACTAAAGAGCAGAAATCAATAAAACTGAAGAAAGGAAGTCAATGTATTTGAAAAGCTGAAAAAAGATTGTAAGCCTCCAGCAACACTGAGAAAGGTAAAAAGTGAGAAGACTCATTACTGATATCAGGGATAGAAAGGAGGTTCCCATGACAGATCCTATAGACATTTTAATAGTGTTAAAAACTTTATGCCAACATATTCAACAAATTAGACTAACTGGATAACTTACTTTGTAAGATAAAAATTACAGGATGTCTATTTGTGTTTTTTCTACTATGTTGTTGTTATGTGCCATTGAGTCGCTTGCAACCCTACATACAAGAGCTTTAATGCCATTCTATCCTGTGCCAACCTCGCTATCTCAAACACACTCATTCCCACCACTCCACTCACATCAAGGGTCTTCCTCTCCTGTGCCATTCCTCCACTGTCCCAAACATGATGTCCCTCTCCAAGGGCCAATCCCTCCTTGCAAAAGGAGCATTCCTACTTCACCCTCTCCAGGACAAACCTGTTTGTTCTCCTAGCAGTCCATGGTATAGTCAACACTCTTTCCCAGCACCACAGCTCAAAGGCATCAATTCTCTTTCTATCATCCCTATTCACTGTCCAACTCCCCGATGCAAAGCACGTAATTGCGAAGACTATAGCCCGGATCAGGCACACCTTACTATCCAGCCTGACGTCGTTGCTCTTCAGTACTCTTGAAAGGTCCCTCACAGCTGACTTTCCCAATGTAATTAGTCTCCTGATTTCCTAGCTGCTGTTACCAAGAGTGTTGACTGTGGAACCAATAAATGAAAACTTAACTATCTCAATCGCTTCACCATCCATACTGATGCTGTCAATTGGTCCAGCGGTTAGAATCTTTGTTTTCTTGATGTTGAGCTTCAATCCATACTGAAGGCTGCAGTCTTTGACCTTCTGCAGCAAGCTCTTCAGGTCCTCCTCAGTTTCAGCAAGCAGGGTTGTGTCATCTGCATAACACAGGTTGTTGATGATTCTTCCACCAATCCTGATGCCACATTCCTCCTCATACAGCCTAGCGTCTCGGATTATCTGTTCTGTATACAGATTGAAAAACTATGGAGACAAAATACATCTCTGACGGACCCCTTTCTTGATTTTGAACCATGTAGTGTCTCCTTGCTCTGTTCTGACGATTGCCTCTTGGTTCAAGTATAGGTTTCACATTAGCACAATCAAATGTTCTGGGATTCCCATTCTTCTCAGAGTTAGCCCTAGCTTGTTGTGATCCACTCAGTCAAGTGCCTTTGCATAGTCAATGAAGCACAGACATTCTTCTGGTATTTTCTGCTTTCTGCCAAGATACATCTAACATTAACTATAATATCCCTAGTACCATGACCTCTTCTAAATCCAGCCTGCACATCTGGCAGTTCTCTGTTGACACATTGTTCCAAACGTTTTTGGATCATTTTCAGAAGAATCTTGCTTGCATGTGGTATTAATTATATTGTTCTATAATTTCTGCACTCTTTTGGGTCACCTTTCTTTGGAATGGGAACAAATATTGATCTTTTCCAGTCAGTTGGCCAGCTGGCTGTCCTCCAGATTTCTTGGCACAACTTAGTGAGCACATCCAGGCAGCGCCTGTTTGTTGAAATAAATCAATTGGTATGCTATCAACTCCTGGAGCCTTGTTTTTTGCCAATTCCTTCATTGCAACTTGAACTTCCTCTTTCATCACCATAGGCTCTTGCTCATATGTTATTTCATGAAATTCCTCTATGTCAGCCAATTCCTTATGACACAGTGACTCTGTGTACTCCTTCCATCTTCTTTTGGTACTTTCTGGGTCATTTAACATTCTACACAAAGTGTCCTTAAGTATTGCCACCTGTGGCTTGAATTTGTTTTTAAACTCCTTCAGCTTAAGAAACACTGAGCAAGTTTGGACTCCAGCTCTCTGCACATTTCATTATAGTATCTTGCTTCGTCATCCTGGGCTGCCTTTTGAAATTTTCTGTTCAGCCCTTTGATTTCTTGATTTCTTCCTTTAGCTTTGGCTTCTCGGCGCTCTAATGCAGTACTCATCTGACATCCATCTTGGTCTTGTCTTCCTCTTCAGCCTTTGTAATCTTTTGCATTCTTCATGGATGATTTTCTTGATATCCTCTCAGAGCTCATTTGGTCTATGGTCATTGGTGCTCAAGGCCCCAAACTTGTTCCTGAGATGA